ATAATCATGAATATGGTTGAAGATATTTGTAGTTAACACAAATAAATATTGCGAACAGATATATTTAGAATAGTTCTTGCGGGTGACTTAACGAGTTTCTTAACCTTCTATTTACAGCATCCACTCGAACGCCTCAAAAGCTGCGCGGCTGCGAGCCAAAGCCAAGGCCGACGCCCCGCATCGTATGGGTGGCGGCGCGTGCCACCTCGTACTGCTGCTCCATGTTGGAGAACATGCGCTGGCGTAGCTGGACGTCGGTGGGCACAGATCCCCCACCGCCATTACCATTGCTGCTGCTGCAGGTTGGGTCAGTCGTTGCATCCGCATTGGGTCCGCCATTGTTTTGGCTGTTGTTGTTGTTGTTGCTGGGATTTGTATTGTTGTTGGTGGCATTCTTGATGCCCATGAGCCGCATAAACTTGGATGCCACCTTGCCATCGGAGTCCTGAGAGAAATGCGCATTGCCCCACTTGTTGGCCGAATCCTCGCTCTTCTTGGACCCCCACAACAGCTTCCGCTTCTGCTGTTGCTCGGCATAGCGGTTGGCATTGATAATGCCCGGATTATAGTACTTGGGCAGTTGCACAGCCGACGACTGCGATTCGACTAGGGCGCTGGGCGGTGTATTCAGCTCGAGCGACATTAACGATGGTATTTTGGGCGCATAATTCGGCGTGGGCAGTAGCCCACCTCCGGGAACACCGCCTCCCGACGACATGTTGGCTGTCACAGCGGCTGCTGTTGCAGCTGCTATCGAGGCTGCCGAACCACACCCACCACCACCACCACCAGGTGGGTTGTATGGCATGCCATGACCCGGCGGCTTGCCAAGCAGCCCAGACGAGGGATAGGCGGCCTTCAACAGCGGCTCGCTGGACTTTAAAGCGGGTGGCGATCTGGAACGGCTGCTGGAATCGTGCGAGCCACGTCTGCGGTATTTGCGTGTTGGCTGAGACGTCGCATGACGCCGGCGGCTGCCGGGCGCCTCGATGGGCGTGCGTGTGCGGGATCCAGATCTCGAGCGGGAACGAGAGCGACGTCTGTTACGATCGTCATAGGAGCGACGCGACTGCGGCTGCTGCAGCTGCTGTGACTGTGACTGAGATTTGTACGTCAAAGATGTGGAGGAGGAGGAGTTATAGTTGCGCGGGTTGTCGCTATAGCGCGCCTCTTTACCCTGCTGATGCCTGGAGCCAGTCCTGTCTCTGTCTCTGTCCCGACCGCTGCCACTGCCATGGCGACGCTCCTCACGCTCACGTTCACGTTCGCGCTTATAGTCGCTCTCCTTGTTGCTCTCTTTGGTGCGATGGTGGCGCTCGCTCTGTGAACGAAATGCGAAATGTTCGTTAAAGATGCTAAACCCAAGCGAGACAGTAGAGCGAGATAGTCGGGTCGCACATGGATTGAAAAGAGAAAGGAATAGAGTTGGGCAATTGTCCTTTGGTAATTGAATTTCTCAAATTTCAGTTATGCATATAGCTGTTGAGTGGCTCAGCCACTATAGATATAGATCGAGTTAATATTAGTCACTTAGAATATGAGTTTCAACAAATTCAGCTAGTCAGCAGGTCTATATATAGCTGTTGCTCAGCCATCACTGAACAAAATAAATCATGCGATAGTTAAGCTGTTTAGAAAATGAAGCCTCTACAAATTCAGCTATTCAGCAACTGCTGAATAGTGAATATAGCTATTGCTCAGCCATTATTGAACAAAATAGATCGAGTTAACATATATAATTTAGTTACTCAGAATATAGAGTCTGTACAGATTCAGTTATTCAGCAGTTATACAGAGTTATACAGTTATACAGTTATACAGCTATACAGGAGTTATAGTATATATAGCTGTTGCTCAGCCGTCATTGAACAAAATCAATCGAGTTAACATTATATAGTTTAGTTACTCAGAATATAAGGTTTCAACAAATTCAGCTATCCAACAACTGCTGAATAATGGATATATCTCAGCCACTATTAAGCAAAATACATCGAGCTAACATTTTATAGTTTAGTTATTATAGTTATAACTATAGTTATATAGATTTCGTACAAATTCAGCTATTCAGCTATATATATAGCTGTTGCTATTCAGAAAATGGATTTTATACAAATTCTGCTATAGTTAATATGTCAAGCTCGCCTTCTGCTCGCATCATGGTCTCCTAATTGCAGTCTCACCTTGCTGTATTCCTTGTCGCGCTCCTTGTCACGCTCCTTGTCACGCTCCTTATCCCTGTTGCGCTCCGAGTCGCGGTGTCTGCCGCGTCCATCCTGCAATGAAAAGAGACGGGCAGCCAAAAACTCAAGTTAATGCATGCACATTCATCATCAACAAATGCGAACTTTTAGGTTTAAAATGAAGTTTTTGTTCGTAACAAAACAGAGAATGAAACGGAAAATTAAAAGAAATTGTTTGGTTAATTAGTCGCTGTGGCTGTTAACAAGAAACCGAAATTAGACATTGTTGTTCGATGCAGCGCCTGCATCAGCTCCTGATCTACCATTGTGGATTGTGGATTGTGGATTGTTGATCGCGGAAAGGCCTGCAAAAGAATTTGTTGTGGAGTTTGTCGTTTCGCCGTCGATTCGCAGCTGAGTTGATAAGTGTGTGTTGATTAAATGCTACTTGAATTTGTGTTTTTGTTTTGATTTTGGTTTTTGTTTTTTTGTTTTTTCTTTTTTTGTTATTATGGATTTGTTGCAATACTCACATTGGATACGTCTCGGTCATCTTTCGCTCTTGGTCGCAAACCTTGCGGTCAGAGTGTGTGTTCAAGGAGTTAAAGGAGTGGGACACAAAACCCTGTTGGGCGCGTTGGAACAACTCTAATAACTCTAAAAACAGTCACGATCACGGTTTATCGATTACCGACTAGCGGTTATCGGTTATCGTATTAACGGTCGAACAGTTCGTTTACAGTTATTAGTTCAACTAATGCAGGGCATTTTTTTTTTTTTTTTTTTTTGCTATGTTTAAGTCCAGGTCCTGGTCAAGACTATTTTTTTTTTTTTTCGTTTCTTTAATTTTTTTGGTTTTTGTTTTTAGTTTGAACTC